TAAGGAGCAGGCGTGGGTGTGCGGGCGCGCGTGGGCGCGGGGCGGGGGGGGCTTCGCCGTTCCCGGAAGTTACTTACTTCCGGGTTCGGCGACCAACCGGATCGCAGGGACCGGTGCGAACCGGTCGAAACCCACCCCTGACGTGAATCCATAATATGTTTGGTTTTTGCTTAGCATGTTAGAGCAGAATAGAAACAGGCTGCATAAACAGAGAGAAAGAATCAAGATAACACACAATGTTCATATCACTTTATAATGCCCTGGTAGAGCCACATTTGGAATACTGCAACCAGGTTTGGTCACCACAAAGTAAAAAAGATGTGGAGACTCCAGAGAAGAGCAACAAACATGATTAGAGGACTGGAGGCTAAAACATACAAAGAACTGGGTATGTCTAGTTTGATTTTTTTTTTTAAAGACCAGGGGCGACATGATAGCAGTCTTCCAATATCTTGGGGGCTGCCACAAAGAAGAGGGAGTCAAAGCACCTGAGGGTGGGACAAGAAGCAATGGGTGGAAACTAAAAAAGGAAAAAAGCAGCCTAGAACTAAGGAGGAATTTCCTGACAGTTAGAACAATCGGTGGAACAACATGCCTCCAGAAGTTGTAAATGCTCCAACACTGAAAGCTTTTAAGAAGAGATTGAATAACCATTTGTCTGAAATGGTATAGGGCCATGAATGGCAAACCTATGGCACCTGTGCCAGAGATGGCACGCAGAGCCCTCTTGGTAGGCATGTGCACCATAACCAGCTGCTCTTGTGGTTTCCAGTGCATGCATGTGTGCTGACTAGTTGGTGTTTGCATACGCCGGAGAGCCGGAAGCACGAAGACCAGCTGGCTGGTGAGCATGCCCACCGGCCATTGGTCTTCAGGCTTCCGGTGTGCGTGCACATTGCTGTTTGGCACTCAGTGCCAAAAGGTTTCGCCATCACTGGTATCGGGTTTCTTGTCTAATCAGGGGGGTGGACTAAAAGACCTCCAAGGTCCCTTCCATTCTATTCTGTTATTACTAGAAGAATAGAATTGGGAGGGACCTTGGAGGATTTCTAGGCCAACTCCTTGCCTAGGCAGGAAACCTTACACCAGTGATGGGGAACTTTTTCGGCATCCAGTTCCAAAAAGGGAGCACTTCAGGCTCATCTGGGCCACCACCAGGAAGAGGAGCTGCATAGTGGGGATGCGCACGCCAAAAAATGAACTTCCGGTTTCCGGCACCAGCCAGCCAGTCTTCCGGTTACTGCCACACATGTGCACATGCCAATCATCTGTCTGGCCGGAAAACAGACAACCAGCCCTTCTGATTTCCACCACTGCTGCATGCACAAAGGCCAGCTCATTGTCGCATGTGCATGCGTGCCAGAAATCCAGAAGGGCCATGCTGCCCGTGCCAGGAGACATGGCTCCATGTGCCACCTTGGGCACATGAGCCATAGGTTCACAATCACAGCCTTACACCATTTCAGCCAAATGGCTATCCAATGTCTTCTTAAAACCTCCAGGGTTGGAGCACCAATAACGTCTGGAAGGAAGCCATCCCACTGACTTAATTGTTTTAACTTTCTTCTTATTTCAAGGTTGGTTCTCTCCTTGATTAGTTTCTATCCATGTTTCTTGTCCTGCCTTCAGGTGCCTTGGGTAATAGGTTGAGTCCCTCCCTCTATTTTTTGTGTCAAGCCCTCAAATATTGGGACACTGCTATCTTGTCACCCCTGGTCCTTCTTTTCACAGCAACGGTCATAACTATGAACCAGTTGCCAAGCATCTGAATTTTGATCACACGATCATGGGGCTGCTGCAAAGGTCATAAGTGTGAAAAAATGGTTATGTCTTTTTTTCAGTGCCGTTGTAACTTTGAACAGTCACTAAATGAACTGTTGTAAGTCGAGGACTATCTATAACTGACACATTAGCCTGACTGAGAGGTGAAATGGACTGCTTTACTGTGGAATTGGGAAATTCTAAATTAGGGAATGTGTGATTTTTCCTTCATAGCAGTTATCTAATTGTGCCCAAGCATAAACCTTTGCTTTGAGAGAGATGGTTCGTTATTTTTATTTTTGAGGTATTTTCATGGAATGGAATGGAATGGAATGGAATAGAATAGAATAGAATAGAATAGAATAGAATAGAATAGAATAGAATTCTTTATTGGCCAATGTGATTGGACACACAAGGAATTTGCCTTGGGTGCATATGCTCTCAGTGTACATTCATCAAGAATCATAAGATACAACACTTAGTGATAGTCGTAGGATACTAAATAAGCAATCAGAAAGGAGCAAAAAAAAATATTGATGCAGGTTGGAAGCCAAAGGGACAAAAGCAGTTGAGAAGCAAAGAAGGTTTTATGAAATATTCTTTGGTTTCAAAAGTTTTCCATTTTTCCCACTTTGCAATATGCAGAATATCCCAGAAGAAGAGAAGTTAATCTGTTTCTGTCATTTTCCTTTCGTCTACAACGTAGCAATCAAGAGGGAAATACTTTATTATATGTCCTGTGTTCTACAAGAGGTAAAGAAGTAAACCATTCTTGCTTATTAGAGAGGTGGTCGGATTTCTCTTGTTTGCAAAAGAACATGCAATTTTTCCCCATGCAAAAAAAATTGGGCTTTGGATAGGAAAGTGGAAAAGTGTTTGGGAAAAGACTGATCAAGAATTTGCTTTGGGGAGGGTGGCATACCATTTGTGTAGAACAGTCTTTTACAACCTTGGAAACTTAAAGAGGTATGGACTTCAGTTCCCAGAATTGGAGTCCACACCTCTTAAAGTTGCCATAGGTTGGCCTAGTGCAGAGGTGTCAAACTCAAGACCCAGTGGCCAGATCCAGCCTGTGGGGTGCTTAAATCTGGTCCGCAGCCCCAGCCTGCAAATATTAAAAGACTGGCCCATGGTGCCTCTGCTGGCCAAAAGCGGACCACATGGACACCCCACGGCTCATTTTTGGCCTCCCCGGCCTCCAGCAGCATTCTGCTCACCATGGCCACGTCCACCCTGCTTACATCCACCATAGCCCCCCACCCCACCCCCAGCCCTCAGAGGTCAAACACAACCTTGATGTGGCCCTCAATGAAACCAAGTTGGACTCCCATGACTTAAGAGTCTTGACAATGAGTCCCTTTGTATCTTATGGACGAAGCCCCCAATTTATTTGCTTGTTTATATTTTCACCATCCAAAATGTGATATGGAGTAAACTCCCCCCACCATAATCAGCAGTAATATGACCACAATTGAGCCCAAAATCTCTGTTGCTTAAATGAGACATTTGTTTAAGGACGTTTTCCCCCATTTTAACTTTTTTTGCCGCAATAGTTAAGTGAATCACTGCAGTTGTTTAGTAACATGGTTGTTAAGTGAATCTGGCTTCTCCATTGACTTTGTTCGTCAGAGGGTCGCAAAAGGTGATCACATGACCCCGGGAGACTGCAACTGTCGTAAGTATGAGTCAGTTGCCAAGCATCTGAATTTTGATCACGTGGCCATGGGGATGCTGCCTGCGATGGCCATAAGTGGGGAAAACATTCATAAGGCACATTTTTCAGTGCTGTTATAACTTTGATCAGTCACTATATGAACTAATGTTAAGTCGAGGACTAACTGTAAAGACAAAACAACAGAAAGAAGCAAGCAAATAATGAATATTGCAGGAGCCTCCATGCAACCCCTTTTTCCTGCCACTTTTCCTGCAGTACTTTGGCCTCAGAAGCAGTTGCATATAGTACAATGTGTCTTGGACACTGGACGCAGCGTATGAATGGTCTGAATAAAATCAATAGAGTTTCTTAAAGGGTCAATTTGGTTACCATTTAAGGAAGCTCCAAATCATATTTTAGTTCATTCCCTATCATCTTTCTCTGCTAGCACTTTGAGAATGGAGATTTAAGGAAATGTCCCAAAGGTACTTTTCTTTCAAGAAGCAACTGGACTTTCTGGCTTTTTTTTTGAAGACATTTCGCTTCTCATCCAAGAAGCTTCTTCAGCTCTGACTGAAGAAGCCACCATCCAGTCAGAGCTGAAGAAGCTTCTTGGATGTGAAAGCTGCCTCTTGAAAAAAACATCTTTGGGAGAGCCATGAACTGGATGACTGAGAATCTCTATAGACATTTAAGGAAATGGTTGAATGCTGTTAGGTTATTTGAGGAGAAAATGCTGAAATATAAACACCATCATCTGAATTGCCTTAAAAGCCTTTGATTTGCTTACATTTCTTCTATGATAAAATATGAAAAATGTTGATTATCTCTTATCCCTCTGGACATCTCCAGTATTTCGAAAAAAAAGCTTATTATGAATTGTGGGATTCGAGGCTGAGAAAAAGTGACCTTCCAGAATATCCTATCTTTACTCTGAAAGTACGACGCCACTTCCTCATTGAAGACACCTGGCACAAGCTTAGTATAACAGAAGACATCTACCTGAAAAAGTACCTGCAGGTGAGCTACCTGTGATCTTTTGATGCAGTTACCTGAGTTTTGAACCTGAGAAGTTTCTGGCGTAGCCTTCAAAATGGGAACTGCATTTTTTTAAATCTATCCATAAAGTGTTTGTTTGTTTCTATCACAGTTATACAGATAGTCTTCAACTTACAACAACAACTGAGCCAACATTATTTTTAAATCCCGTTTTTTATTAGGTTATAAGGATTTTCTGAGGCCCCTTAGCTTCCGGAGCCTGTGACAGAAATCACTGCGTGGCAGTTAGAAACTGCTGCACGGTGTTTTCTTGCCACGTGCAAGGCCACGCAGCCGTGCACCTTAGAGGGAACATTATAGACTAGGGGTGTCAAACTCAAGGCCCATGGGCCAGATCTGGTCCACAGGGTGCCCACAGGGCTGACCTAGCAATAGCAAAGGACCGGCCTGCGGTGCCTCTGCTAGTAAAAATGAGGCATGGAGAGAGCGCCCCTTTTTGGCTGGTAGAGGGCTATCAAAACTAAAAACAAAACAAAAGAGAAATGTTTCCCCTTTTGCATTTGAGCATGCAAGAAGGGGCAGGAAAGGAGAAAGGGAAAGGGGAAAGACAAAGAAAAAGATGGGAAGAGAGCAAGGAAAGAAAAATAGAGAAAGAGGGGAAGGAAGAAGAAGTTAGAATAAATAGGGAAGGAAAAAGAAGAAAAGGAAGGAAGGAAGGAAGGAAGGAAGGAAGGAAGGAAGGAAGGAAGGAAGGAGATTATTACAATGAGAGTGAGGGTGTCTCGGGGAAGTCCTGCTTTAGCACTTGACCATCACAGGTGCCCCCCCCCCCCGACACGAGTCCCATGTTCACCACCTCACCGCCCTGACCCTCCAAGGTCAAACACAACCCTGATGTGGCCTTCAATGAAATCAAGTTTGACACCCCTGCACCCTCCCTTTTCAGAAATTTCTGTATTAAAATATGAATCATACTTCATTTTTTTTGCTTTACACATGTCCACCCATTGATGATAAAAAGTCCCTTTATTTTCACACTTCCAACATTCATTTGACATACCTTTATACATCTTATATAACTTGTCTGGTGTTAAATATCTATGATACATCATCTTATAGAAATTCTCTTTTAGATTATAATTTAATCCAAAATTCCTTTCCCACGGAATCATACTGTTTTACAATTCATATTCATTTCTGACTGAGCCCACAATTTCGTTTGCCAAGTTGTTAAGTAACTTTTGCCCCATTTTATGACGTTTCTTGGCACAGTTGTAATTGTTAAATTAGTAACAGTTGTTAAGGGAACCTATCTTCTCCATTGACTTGCCTCCATTGATCACATGACCCCAGGATACTGCAACCTTCATAAATGAAGACCAGTTGCTAAGCAACTGATTTTCGATCATGTGACCGTGGGGATGCTGCAAAGTTCATAAATGTGGAAAGTGGTCATAAGTTACAACAATTTTGAATGGTCATTAAATGAATGTTGTAAGTCAAGGACTACCTGTATTTTGCCTTAATTTTAAGAAACTACACACAATGTAGAGGTTGAAGGTCACCTCTAATTTTTCTTCACCTAACACTAGTGGAATAGCTTGGCTGAGTGATGGGTCCAAAATTAGCCAAAGTGTTCAAAGAACATGAAATCATTTTGACCTTCTGCAAATTCAGAGCTTTTCTGTTATTCACCAAAGCAATTCAACATTCTTCAGCATCTGAAGAAGGATGTTTCTGTTTCACTTCTTTCATACAATTCTTAAAACTACAACTTCTCAAATTTTGCAGAATCTTGAGTTGCCTGGGCATTTCCCAGGTCTGTTCAGAAACCTTGGGGACCCTTGAAAAGAAGATTTTGAAGCAGGTGGGAGGGGGATTATGATAGGGAACCATAGAGAGGCAGCTTCATGTATAGTGGTGGGATTCAAACTTTTTACTACCGGTTCTGTGGCCCTGGTGTGGCGTGGCATGGTGGGCATGTCAGGGGAAGGTTACTGTAAAATCCCCATTCCCTCCCAATCAGCTGGGACTCTGGAGGCAGCGAATAGATGGGAACAAGGCTAGCCAGAAATAGTATTTACTGGTTCTCCGAACTACTCAAAATTTCTGCTACTGGTTCTCCAGAACGGTTCACCAACAAAAGGGCGAACGACAAAAGCGCGCCCGACTAAACCGCGGTGACAAAACCGCGAGTTCTAAAGCGTGCCGACGAATGAGCGCTGCAGCGCACTGACAAGTGCGCCAACAGAAGCGCGCTGTAAACCTAACCCTAACCCTAACCCTAACCCTAACCCTAACCCTAACCCTAAACTTAACCCTAACCCTAACCCTAAACCTTACCTTAACTTAAATCGCGCTTCTGTCAGTGCGCTGTTGTCAGCGCGTTGATGATGTCGCGTTGATGACATCACGGTTTTAGCGCCGCGCTTTTGTCAGCGTGCTTTTGCCGTGCGCGCATTTGTCGGGTCACGCTCCAGAACTGGTCAGAACCTACAGAATATCACCTCTGCTCATGTAACTTTCTGAGATCTGCTTCCAGCCATTGCTCTAATGGGGCACAAATGAGATTACTGGATGAAGACTAAGCACAATTCTTAACCTCTGCTTAGGGGCTTTTATGGACACTGATTCCTCAATTGTCTTTTCTCAGTGAAGTCAACAGATGCCTTGAACTATCCCAAAGGTGCTTTTGCAAAAGTCAACTGGAGTTCCTTGGTTGTTGTTTTTTCTTCATTTTCCAAAAAGAAAAACCAAGAAAGCCCAGTTGCCTTCTGGAAAAGCACCTTTGGAACAACCATGACCTGGATGATTGAAAATCTCCATGGACATTCTTTGGACTATTTTTCCTTTCTTCTTCACTTGTTTTGGCAGGTTCAATTTGAAAAGGAAATGGTTGGATATGGAGGTACAGGTTACCTGGTGGAATTCTTTTCAGAAGTGTTTGAGAGGCTGGCACAGCCAGAATATGGGATGTTTATGTATTGTGAACCGTGTTCCCCAATGTGGTTTCCTACCAAGGTAAGTTTATCAGACCCAACTCCAGTTCAAATGAACTCAATTCATCAAGATGATACATACCAACCCTGCCCCATGAGGTGGTATATTGGATCTTAATGTGGAAAATATGTGCAAGTTGGATTTGTGAAGTTCTACACCTGGTTTTTTGCTCATTGGAAAAAAATTGTCTGGGAAACTTCAAAACATCTGAGGGATTATGAGGATTTGTAATCCCAACACCTCTTGAGGGCCTAAATTGTGGGAAAGATGCCTTCAGGGACTAGAAAATTTGAGCTGAATGAAAGGAAGCATTTCGCCGCTCTGCAATTTGCACATTGATAAAGAACAGCAATTTGAAAATAAGTTTGATGTCTTACAGGGTAATATAAGAAGTCTGGCAGGAAGAGATAAGACTTTTGATAAGGTCACACTGTTTCTCCATTGCCCTTAGCTCTGGGAAAATACAGATTAATTCCTAGATGCGGAGAAAAACAAGAGAGCCAATTTTATGTAATAGTTAAAGTAGCAGGCTAGAAATCTAGAGCCTGTGAGTTCTAGTCCTGCCTTAAGCCTGAAAGCCAGCTGAGAACGGAGTAGGTACATATGTTCATCACCTTGACTTAGCTATAAAAATAAGGAAGGCAAGATAAATAAAGTAGGCTCTAGTAGAATATCAAAGTGCAACTAAAGAAATGTTGTGGTGATGTTCTCTTGCTGTTTTGTTTTTGCAGCCTTCTGTGGAAAAGAATAAATATTACCTTTTTGGTATTCTCTGTGGACTCTCAATAGCCAACCAAGTCACTGCCTACCTACCTTTCCCACTTGCTGTCTTTAAAAAGCTGCTTAACAAGAAGCCAACTCTCAGTGATGTGAAAGAGCTATGCCCTGTGATAGGAAGGTAAATGAATTCAGTCCTATCAAGTTACTAGGGACATTTGAGTCTTAACTGATTGTATCCAGTCGTTGCACTCACCCTACAACTGACAAAACCATGTTTCTGTGTCAAAGAATGGGCCAGAAGGAATGTGGTTTAAGATGACTTGGCCAAGGTGTAGAGATCAGCAAATCATTTGTCATTTCTCCCCTCATCCCTTCTGCAGTAGGAGGCTTCTCTTGATTTGAGTTGTCATACGGAGTAACCTAGAGGAGAACACAGGTGTGACACTTGCGATGTCACGTTGTCATTGTGATGTTTTGCGACGTTTTTTCCCCTTTGTGGAGCTGGGGTGGGCATGGCCTGCCTGTAATGCATCCAGCCCACAGGCTGCCAGTTTGACACCCCTGGAGTGGAAGATCTCCAGTTACATAGCTGCAATGGCTGACAGAGGAAGTGCTCTCTATGCATAACCAAAGGCAAGAAGTCCATCTTCTAGTCTAGGGGAAGGAAAAGATTGAGACCTATCTGCTTTTTTCTCTTAATGGATCTCCTTAGACTCCCATTTCTCTATTAGTGTGGAAATGATTCCTTAAATTTCCTTTTAAAACCACCACCTCTCTGTAAGCACACAGATTTTTTTCAATTTTTCAGCAGAAGCAAGGATAATAACCCACAGATTTATGACAAACGTTTATTTATTCCAAAACATGTTTACAAATATAGTAGCCATCACATATGTCTTCTGAACTGTCTAGGACAGGGGTATCAAACACAATTTCATTCAGCACCGTATCAGGGTTCTGTTTAACCTTCGGGGTGGGGGGAGTCAGATGTGGCCAGAGGGTCGTGACCAGCCTGATGTCACTCATGTTGGGGATGCTTGTGGTGGCCCAAGCGCTCTGCCAGTGAAAACGGAGCTCCATTTTCTCTGGCAGAAGGTTGTACGGGGCTGTTGCGCGGCCCGCCTGAGCTCTGTTTTTGTTGGCAGAGACACCGCGGGCTGTCCTTCTCTGTTTCTAGGGTAGCCCCACAGGCCAGATCTAAGCACCCCGTTGGCCAGATCTGGTCCACGGGCCTTGAGTTTGACACCTCTAGTCTAGGAGAAGGAACGTTCTTTTTTGCCCATTGTAACTGGTGTCTCAGCTTAGTTTAGTAAATCCCAGTATGACCCAAATCCCAATAGAAGCTTGTCCCCTATTTGGCCTGGAAAGAGGGTATTCCCCACTAGCTTAGTTTTTAAAATTATCTGGACCCAAAGGTTTTTCTGGAGCAGTCATGCAAATATCTTCTTTGCATCTTCTCATCAAATACTTGACTATCTGGCTCTATCTAACCATTCCAGCCCCATCAATAGCAATAGCAATAGCAGTTAGACTTATATACCGCTTCATAG